TGATTCTTTTTTTCAATCTTTTCTTGGCGTAGATGCTCCATTTCTTGATGTACATACTCCATTTCTTTTGCATATTCTACTTCAATTGCCCTATCGTGCTCTTGTTGTTTCATGTCCATTTCAATTCTCATGGCTTGCATCTTTGAAATTTCCTCCAAAAATTTAGATGCATTTTTGGTAGAATTACTTCCTCTCTTCGCATTCGCCGCCTTCCTCCCAATAGGCCTTGGAATATTTTCGATAGGTGAGTCTTGACTCATCAGGGAATCCGTAGGTGAATCCGATGCCGGTGTCTTATGGAGTGGCGTCTTGTTCAAGACTATCGTCGGACCCGTTGGAATAATTTGGAATCTCTTACAATTCTTCACCACCTCCCAACATAGGGTATGGTTGAAACTTTTTTTGCCTTGCCCAGTAGCATCAAACCACATTTGTGCTTGCACAATCTATTTTAAAAAAAAAATGCAAGAAACTTTAAAGAATATTAGCAATGCAACAAGTATAAAAAAAACAAAAAAAAACCAATGGAAATGCAAGAAACTTTAAAAAAATATTGGCAATACAACAAGTATAAAAAAAAAAAAATGGAAATGCAAGAAACTTTAACAATTTATTAGAAATGCAAAACAAAATATAAATATTGCAAGAAACATTCATATTAATATTGGAAATACAAGAAATATTAACAAAATATATAAATTGCAAGAAAGATTTAAATAAAAATTAATATGACATAAAAGTTAATAAAACGAAAATTACAAATAATTTACCTCACTAGTAAGGTTTTCCCTGCTTCTATGGTTGTTCATCGCTTTTGCCAAAGCATCTCTCTATTTCGCCAACTATTTATTAAGAATTTTCCACATACTAGATAATGTCTGATCCGTACGGGTCAAACCAATTACCCTTTCACAAAATTCATGATGAATTTTTTTTCCACATATGACAGAATTTCATCTCATTGCCCGTTACGGGGCAATGACTAATTTGGAGCCAAGACTTACACAAGCTAACATCTTCCATCATGCTCCATGCCCCTCCGGTTTCACTAGAAGAACCCATAATATGATACAGAAAAAAATAACTTGAAAGTGAATAACAGTAGTAGGAGAAGAAAATGTATGAGAAGTTGGTGTTAAAAGTGAAGAGTATTGGTTGATATTTATAGAAGAAAAATTCAGTATTTTTTTCAATTTTTTTATTGGGAAAAAATTGATTGCCGTTGGATTGCTGGAAAAAAAGGGATCGGAGAGCCTAGAGCCAGCGACGTGGAAGAGAGTCGTTGGGGAGCACTATAACGGGTTTTTTTAAAATTTATTTTGATTTTTTATTGGGAAAAATTGGCTGCTATTGGATTGCTGGAAAAAAGGGGATCGAAGAGGCTAGAGTCAGCCACATGGAAGAGAGTCGTTGGGAGACACGGTAGCGGGCGCGTCAAATTTTTATTAACGTTGCACGCTCCAAAGTTAAAAAAATTTAAACAGAAACGCTGACGTCAGCTTAGCCCGCAGGCTGGAGCTCGGGCCAGCCCAGTTCGCTGGGCCCCACTCCTTGCCTAGGCAGACTTTTGTTGCTGGAAACACCTTGTCCTCCCATTGATCCCTTTGCTGAAAATACTCTTATAGGTAAGGGTGGGCATTCAAACCAGAAAACCGAACCGAATCGGACCGAAAAAAATCGAAAGAAATTGAGTTGACCAAAAATTGGGCTGAGTTGACCAACAACTGAATCGGACAGGTTCTGATCGATTCCAATTCTGGTTTGACATCTCAAAAAATCAAACTGGGCCGAATCAGTCCGGAATCAAATAAAAAATAATATATACATATTTTTTGGTGGCCCAACCACTAAGCCCAGAATTTTTCTCACTTCCCAAACCCAACTACCAACATCTAACCTTACCCAAGCCCAACAACAAAAGCCCATCAACCAACACCTAACCTTAAAACCACCTTTTCTTTCCTTCCTCTCTCCCTTATCTTTAATTTTCCTCAATCCGCCGCAGCTTCTCTCTTTTAATTTTAGTAAATTTAGGTTTTAGCAAAAAAAAAAAAAAAATTCACTTTTGGAAAAAGCCAAAACTTTTTAAAAAAAGACAGAAAAACCTCTCAGCTTTTTAAGGGTAATTTTGTCTATTTTTGAATATTTTACAAAATTTCTCTATCCTTTGTGTTTTTCCAAAGTCTCCCCTCTCTGTATTTTTTTTTTTTTTGCTAATGTATGTTAGATGTGCTGCATCTTTTCAATAGATGGCGAGCCCCAATTTACTAGCATGTCTTTTCGCCTAATATCAATTTTGGAGGTATGTTTTTCGTAGTGTTTCTCATATTTGTGTGGTGAACTCATTTATTGTGATATTGTGATAGTGTTTCTCCTATTTGCATCTCCTTCTTTGTTTTTCACATTTCTCCCCTCATTTTCGCCACTGTTTTCTTGGGTTTTTATTAGTTTATTTTTTTCTCTCCCCCTTTTCTCCCTCATTCCTCTAACTGTTTTTTTTTTTTGTCTGAACCACGAGGTGGTCCTGGATGGGCCCCAACTATGGGTGACACCTTTAAACCTTAACCACAACTCAGACTAATCCCCGCTCACACCGAGTCGGCCCGTAATGGGTAAAGTGCTGGCCAAAGTGGTGACTCCATACGAGAGCAGGGATCGAACCCCTGACCTTCTCTTAAGGAATGAGAGTGCTAAACCACTCACACCAACCACCTTGGTTTATTCCTCTAACTTTTCATTGCTGTGCATCTCCTTCTTTTTTATTTGTTTGGGTTTTTTTTATATTGCTTTTATGTTTATATGCCGAATTTCTTTTGTGGGTTTCATTAGATTCATGTTTGTTTATGATTTCGGATTTAGATTC